AATTTTTTAGTATAAAAAGTGAAAATATCGTGGTAAGTTAACAACAAAATTTTAATCATAACCCGTAATTTCATAAAGCGCCATCTATTTTTTCAATTTTTGGTAAAAATATATATTTAGGAAATACCGTTAAGGTTTTGACATCGTATATATATTTATAAAAGGTGTCTAAATAAAAGCAAAAAAAATTTCGAAAACAAACTCCTTTTTTTGTTTAAAAATACAGGTAAAGCAATATATTTAAACCGGAAGTTAAAGACTCAAATTGGCTCCAATTTTTATTTTTTTGCTAGCCCTTTGGAGATTTTTTTTTACCTTCAATATGATATATTATATTTTTTACTATAAATAGTTTATGAGATATAAGCATTTTAAAAATTTTATAGATTCTAAAGTGGCTCTTTTTTCACCTATGAGCCACTATATCTCGAGAACCAGGTATGCTGGCGAGCTAAAATAAACGGCTTTCTCATTTTTTTTACCTATCTAAATAATTCCAGAAATTTCTAACAATTTTAAAAGGGGTCGGCTGAATCGTGATCGATTAATATTATTTATTTTAATTAAAATTTCTAATTTACATTAGGTAAAATATCATATCTAGCATCTATAAGATGCTTAGATATCCCAAGAGAAAAAATATAATAAACAAAATTACAGTGCCTTGTCCAACATGGAGAAAAATATTACAAAAATCTTGGCAGCAAAATGAAGCCATACACATAAAATAAGTCTTCTATGGAGTTAAAAAAAAGCCTATTACATATGCTCTTGCTGAAATAACTCAATGGACTGAGAAAGACATCTCTTCAGAAGCAGACAGATTATTGGACACAATACAACCAATTTTTTTTTACCTTAGAATATACTACCAAATTAATTAATTACAAAAGTATTTAGAATAAATGACACCGATTTGATTGAGACTATGAGAATAGTTGAAAACATCACATTGGAACTTAAGGAAATTAGGGCGAATGTAAATTATGAATTTCATAAATTATATGTCATTGTTGAGTCAAAAGCATAACTCTATGAATTTAATATTTGTCTGCCCCGACTCGCAGCAAGGCAAGCTCCTTGTTCAATATTAATATAGGGTGAGTCGAAGAATACTATAAAATAGACTTTTTTATACCCTTCTTAGATACTTTTATTGTTCAAATGAGTAAAAGGTTCTTGATTAATCAGGCACTTGCAAATCTGCAAATATTGCTACCGTTGAAGCCTTCCAAATTGTTAAAATCTTGAATGAGAATAATTCAATATTTGGTCAATTTTTATCATGAGGATATTAAAGTATCCCAAGATGCATTACATGCTAAGTACTAAATATAGGGCCGTAGTCAGGAATTTTTACTGGGAGGGGGGGGGGCAACAGTTTACTTAAGGGGATCAATATTTTTTTGAAATAAAACAATTTGTTAGGCATTCATAGAAATTTTTTGATATTTTTATTAAAAATTTGCAAACGACGTTTATTATTTTTAAATTTTGAAGAATTAAAATTTGTATTATTTTTTCCCATGAGCCATTAATACTAAATTTTTATGTTGAACTTTCATCAATTCTCTAGTGCTCGATTTAGTGTAGAGAATGAGGCTTCTTAAAAGATGATAAATGATGATGGCTGCTAAATAGTTTTTATACAATTCTTTAAATGCAAGTTGATATTTTTTTTATATATGTTATTTACAATATTTTCAAAATTATGTTTCTTTAACTTATGCAGCTAATAATCTTATTTCTATTTTCATTTCATGATGTAACGTTTCCATATTTAAGTTTGATAATGATTCTAATAGGGTCATTTTATCTGATATAAAATAATCAGGGTCAGGGGGGGGGGGGTATATTAAAACAGACAACAATATATGTTGTAATGCCATAGGATAATATTTTCACGTTAAAAATTTTTTTAAGGGATGGGATTAAATTTTTATATAAGTTTCTCAGCCTTAATTCCTGTCAGGATTATCACTTCTTTTATTTTTTTTAATATATTATTTATGTAATCAATACAATTTTTAGCACCCACTATAATTACCTACTGTTATTTAGCGGATCTATTGTTATTAATACCTCATAAATTAAAATGAACAATATAATGTGATTTATGTTAACCCATAGAAATAAAAGCCATAGGCTTCGAATGAATCATGAGTGGAAACCTCTGAGTTAATCTCTTAGAAAAGCAAAATAAATCCTTAAAATTCTTATAAATGATACGAGATATTTCTAAATGACCAGCTCACTTCTCTTAAGAGTATGGGTCTAAAACAATTAAACAATGCATTAGATAAATTAAAAAATTAGAAATGATAGCACTATTAGTATACCAATTTTGAAATATAAGATGCAACTTGTGTTTATAGCATTGTTTATAAGGCACTTTTTTTATTAATTTTTTTTGAAGCAGGGTTTGTACTACTCCATTTTGGCCAGGCATGTCGCTTGCCCAACATATGCCTGGCTTATTATATATTCGATGAATTAATATTTAATTCATTAGATTGCTTTAAAATACAATTAGTAATGCTTTCTGCAGGAAGACATTGTAAATTAATGATTCCTATTTAATTTTCTTGGATTTCTCCACAAAAATTATAACAAATAATTATGGTCAGGTTTTCACAACTTGCTTATTAATTTGTATAAATTAAACAAATAACGTTTTTCTAAAATTTTATTACATTATTGTTAATGGTGAATTAAAATTTAATAAATAAATAATTTTTTCACATTTGGAGGCCAAATATTTTTTCACCCTAATAAATTTTTAAATAACAAAAATAAAATGTTTTCATTTTATATATCAAATTTTAAATGTGTAAAAAATTTATGTTTTATTTACAAGTTCCTTTTGATTCATTTATTTTATAGAAAGTTTCTGGTGCTAATCCTAATAAATTTCTGAAACTCAAAATATTCTTGAGTAACTCCTAGAAATTTTTTTTTAATTATTCCAACCCCCCCCCCCCCACAAGTAAATTTCAGCGTACGCGTTTGCTTCTAATCTTAAGATTTAGTTAGATATCATTAATGACAGCAAATTCACTAGAGATAAACACTCATGCAAAACTTATCCTTTTAAAAATTATCAACCTTCTTTCAATTATTATACTAATTATTCATTAAAATATTCTTTTAGGATATTATTTATAAATAATATAGTAGAGCTAGCAAATAAATTGTTGGGGATAATCAACTGGTTGTTACGTAATCTAAAAATTATTCTCGAGGTGTAGCATTTTTGCTTCTTAGTCACACTTTCCTAAAATATTTAAATAAACTTTTATACTTCAAAATAATACATTAAAATTATATATATCATTTTTTTATGAAATATAATATTTATTTGCATTATTTATTTGCATTATTTATTTGCATTATTTATTTGCAATTTGCAAATATCTTTTTTTTTAAAATATTATATTTGATTAATGGGGATAGCCGCCATGGAGTTTTCTGCGTCATTTGACCAAAGGGGGTTAAAAGGCCTTAAGGTGGGCTCTGAAGTATGCTTAAATTTTTAAAGATTCTTTATCCTTATTCGGCTAATGTTAGGTACTGCCAACTCAACATAACGTAATCTCTAAATAACGGGCCAATTATTTTTTATAAAACAATAATATTTTCCAAGAACCAGGGATGTGAACCCTTGACAAAAAAAGTGCTCGGGTCAAGATTCTAAGGGCTATGAAAGGGTTCTGGTTCAGGGTTTGAAAAGCCTAAGGTAATATTAACTCAATATTAATTTTTAAAAAAAATTCATTTATTTATTTTTTATTCTATTCCATATATTTCATAAATATAATTTACTAGCAAAAAAAATTGATTTTATATTTATTTTAAACGTTTATTCAAATCGAACAATCATAATAAGCTCCAAAATATCCTCTTGAAGTTTTCACAAATCTTACAATTTGTATTTAAAGGAAAAAAGGCACTTCTAGGCTGACCAACTATTGACACACTTCATATTTATATTTATATAATTGCTCGTATTTTAATAAAAATTAAATGATCTAAAAAATGAGTTTTATATTACTTTCCTGATTGTATGTTTTTGTCTCAATATTTTACTTTTTAAAATTGATATAAAAACAAGATAAGCAATGTATCCTTAAATATATTGAAGATTTCGTTGTGGGGGAGGGGGGGGCACTATTAAGTAAATTTTTTCCCCATAAATTTTGCTGGAGATTTATAAGGCTACTTATTGTAATCCTTTGGCTATATTAAATATTTATAAAAATAATTTTGCGCTTTCACTTTTTTGTTAAACTGCTTTATTTCTAAAAATTTTGAATTATAGTCGTTATTTTAAAAGGTTATTAATTTTTACTATCAAATTCTTTCTTATAATTATTGTAAACATTTTTTGGAGAGAGGGAGGTGAAGGGGATGGGATTTTTATTAGCTTAAAATCATATTTATGAGAACAAGCAAATTTGCAAGGGGGAGGATTTGGGTTTGGGTTCAGTAAAAACATGAGAGTTCCATGATCAGGTTTACATACCTGCCCAAAACTTTCGGATTAGTGATCCGCACACATAAAGACTAGTCCATACACACTTTTGAAAACGATGATTCTTTGAATATAATATTATAACCATATATGTCAATGTCAATCCAATCTTTCTTTTTTTCTTAAGATCAATTTTAACGTCAATGCGAACATTTATTTTTCATTAGCTGGCCAAGCTTTGGTGATTCGTTATAATAATAAATAAATAAATTTTACTTTGAATTGCTGTAATACATTACATAATAATAAATACCATTTTATTGATTTTCATTTTACTCTCACGTCAAAATTAATTTTTTTAAAATGAAAAAAAAACTTTCTCTAAAAGTAAATATTTAAAAAAAACAAAAGTTGTATTTTAATATAATTGACATTTTATTTTTGAATTTCTTTTTTTTGACTTGTCTAGTTTAAAAGTTATAAATTAAGATAATATGTAATATAAATTTATTTTTGATGAAACACTTTATTGATTAATTTTAAAATACTTATATATCAAAGCTGCACAAAAAACATGATTCGAGATAACGAAGGAGGTTTGAGGCTGTTAATAAGAACAGCCATGACACAAAGATGCGTGGTGGTGAAATGTTGATTGATAATGTCGAACGGCCAAGGTATAGCATAAATACTTATCCTGCTTAATTTTAAATACCACAATAATTAATAGATATATATATATTATAGATTGGATCTAATATATATAATTTATACAGAAATAAATATTTCGAATTTATTATATATGTTAGCGGCAATGTGTTTTATCGACAATGCGCTATTTTTTCAACTTTAAATCATTTTTTGAGCGCGTTTTTCAAATTTGAAAATCTGATTTTACCATAAATACAAAGCCTATCTTATAAATTTTAGACAATTTTCCGTTAAACTTTGAGTCATTTATAATTTATATAAAAACTCTATGCAAAAACCAATATAAATAATATTAAGTTCAAATGTTTACGGCAAAATTGTCTGAAATTCATAGGGTAGGTATTCAAACATGTTCAATACATTTAAGGTGATATTTTTAAATGTAAAAAAACGCGCTCAAAAAAAAATTTTAAGTTGAAAAAATAACACATTGCCGCTAACATATATTGTAAAATATTTTAATTATATTTAGTGATTATGCATCACTAGTCACTTTCTGATCTTCGATTTTTATTATTTTTTTAAATTAAAATAATATTAATCATCCATCAGAATCAGTTGTGTTGCTAATTCTTTTATTTAAGAGTGCTAAAGCGTCGCTTTTAACAAATTATTCGCTTGCTTCTAGGGACCAAATTCGTAGAAAATATTGATCCAGGCAGATAAAAATATTGAAAACTCGTTCGAACCCTCTATCACACCAGTGAAGATACTATTGAGTTAAACGGTATAAATTTTGAAAAAATCAAGAGTCAAAATGAATATATTAAGAGTATAGTTGAGTATAACTGCTAAAAATCGGCTAACGCTAAGCATTGATTAATTTATGTATATTTTCTTCAAATTTGTATATTTTTTTTAAACCCTGGGTCTGAAGTTATAATTTTAGACTAAAAACTAAGTTTAGCCTGAATATATAAAATAATATCTAAAAATATCGACTGATACAGGTCCAAAAATTTGATAATATTCTTTTAAAAACAACTAAGATATTACAAGGTTTAAACCGGTTCACAGACTTATTCAGTTCATATGGCTTAATTAACGGTATATATATTTGACTTGGATTCGATAAATAATAACAAACTGGTTTATCCGTGCATGGATTCCTGAATTTTCTTCCCACCAGCGAGGTCCATGATTCAAAATATACCATTCTTTTTTGATGGAAAAATGATTATTATTTTTTGCTTGAAAGCATTATTCCGCAAGTGTAAAATATATTTGATTTGTGTTTGTACCGCTTTTTTCAAAATAAAAATATGGCAAAAAAATATATTTTATAAAAAAAAAGAAACAATAATTGCTATTAAAGTGTGCTGTGATGTGAGGTGAGTTTCGTAACCTATAAAAAATGATACACCTATTTTCAATATAATAAAAAAATATATTAATTTAACAATGCAATAACAATCATTTTATTTTATTGTTAAATTAAATATATTATAAATATCAATTTTTGGTAAATATTTAAAATTCCAAGGTTGTATAACAAAAAAAGTTCAAATAATTAAAATTTAGTCTAACACTTAACCTTAGCCCAGTCTCATAACAACCAGAAGCGGAAACAGGTCCCACATGGCCAAACGATCTATTTACCTTCTACCAGAGGACACGAACATAAAAAAGTGGCTCAGTTAAGGCGTTAATTAAAAAGATTTATGGTTAAGTTGCAGTTTAAAAAAATTATAGCACTTTGTGTTCGAGCTCATTCACAAAGATTCCGGTTAGTTTTTAAGGTAGCCAAGAGAAATAGCACCTAAACCAGAATTGAGGGCTTAAAAAAATCTAAGCATTGTCTATCAATAAGGTATTATTAGGGAAGAAGCATTAGTCCTGTTTATAGTTTAACAATGTTTTAGGGATTGATGAAGCATGAGTCGGGTGTTAGTTCGCAGCGCAAACCTGATCAAAAAATTTAAATCTGATCCGGGTGTGATTTAAATTTTGCCGTGGTCGGTTTGAGTTAAAAAATTTCATAGATCGTGCCTGGCTTGGGATTGGGTATAAAGATTTACTAAATTTTATACTATGAATCTGCTGAAACACTAACCTAATTCATTCTTCTTAAACGAATGCCCAAGAATCCTTTAAAAATTTTAAATGAAAACAAATCATATTTAAATTAAGAAATTCCCTGAAACTTGAAGACAGGGCTCTTTTCGCTTTTAAAAGGGGCCTATCCTATTATTCAGAACACGATGTGTAAATTGAGATAGATAGGGGAAGATATAATCATTCTTTCGAAAAAATTCAAAACATATTTTAAAATTTTCTCCATTATTGTTAAGAGGTAGCGTAAGAAGAAATGGGTAGGGGGGGGCAGGTGCATCAATTTTTCCCCTATTAAAGAAAAGCAATTTTTTTATATAATTGCTAGTGCGCCTAAATATTTCGTACTATCTTGAATATTGATGCCTATTTTAGAAATTGTATATTTTTTGCAAAATAAGTTATTGGTAACAAATACCAGGGCCATACATGAAAAATCAATTCAATACTAGATGTCTATTTTAAAACCAATACCAATATTATTCAAAAATTAATATCTCGTATTTTTAGACAATTCATTTTGTCAATTTTAAAATTTATTTCATGGATAACGTTATAATAGATCCTTATAATTTTAATTTATTAAGTCATATTTGTTTTGAATTTACTGCAAAATATATTTGTTCAATTATTGATGTAATAATTATATAACTAATGTCTTGAACTCTTTTAGATTAAATTTATAGAATAAGTTTAGGATTTGTGATAGCAGTAATTTTGTATCGATGGAAAAACTTTCATATTAGGCCCCATTAAAAATATTTTGATTTGTTATTTATTTAATTCTTTGACGAAAAATAAATTAAAATTTTTCGTTTTATTTTTAAATTTAAGAAAATCATAAATGTTAGTAAATATAAATATGCTAATTTTCGATAATTTTTTTAATTATATGCAAATATTCGTAATTAATTATTTTTTAAAATAAGGCCACTTTAATCAAATGTTATTTTTTTACTGGCATTTGCAGTATTAATTTATTGATTGTGACAGATTTTAAGATAAATTTTATAAATGATAAGATTATATAATCAGAAGAAGAAAAAATAATGGGACTCTTTGACATTCTATGGGTGTCTATTTTTCTAAACACAAATATGCTTAACAAAGATGGCATTATTAAACAATTAGCATAAATTTATTTTTAGAATTATTATTTTTTTTATTATTTAAGCAAAAAAATGCTTGTTATCTTTTTTATTGTGTATCTAAATAAAATCCTAAGAAATTGAATTATTCATAATTAATGCTGCAAAGAACGTCGTTGAAAAGTCGTCGCCAATAGTGATACATTTTTTGGGGAAAAACAAAGTTGTAGTGCGCACTTTGCGTTTTTCCGTAATTTTAATCGTAACGCATCCTTTGTTCAAATTAAGTTTGCCTTTTTATTAATATCGTCGATATAGAATTTTAACTAAATTCTAAAAGAGGATTTGTCTATGAAAATTATATTATCGTCTGCCTTTTTATTTCTTTAATTTCTAAAATTCCATTTTAAAATATAAGTCATTTTTCTTTTGTATAATATTACAAAATGAAGAATAAAAAAGTATTTAAAAAACTAATCATGAATGGTTTCTAACATCAAATGGTAATTTTAACAATTTGCACGATACCATTTGAAATGCATAATTTGCGTTTGGAACACAGTTTTTGAAAGCTCAATTTGTGCTCACTATTACTCATTTCATTACTTTGAATTTTTCCAAAAAATTTATTTTATTATAATTCAATAAAATTTTATAAATATGTAAGTCGATTTTATTTCAGATCAACCAATAAAGTTATTCATTTTTATTTTATTGATTACATTTTTGTTGCTAAATTCTCTACAGTCAAGATTATTAATTTAATTAATATTGAATCAATTAAGGTATGTTAATTTATATTCTTTAATATTGTAAAGAAAATTAAAGGCAATAAATCTACACTTTGTAATTATAAATGTAATTCGAATATCTCAACTTAGATATTCAGCAGCATCTAAAAAAACATAAAAGTAAAAATGTTAATTCAAATTAAATTCTGATAAGATTTTAAAAAAAATTACTGAGGATCTGAATAAATATCTTTTTTGAAAATAAAGATCATTCTTTAAATATTTTTAGTAAATTCCCCAAATTAAATTTTTATTTATTAAATATAATACAACCCTCCCATCCTCTGCTTTAATTGAACTTGTGTTTAGCACTGTGTTCTTTTTTTACCTGATAAAAATTTTGAATGTTAAAAATATAAAAATATTTGTATATGGCGAAAAAATTAAAAATAGAATTTATATATAATATTCTTCCATGTAACCAGCAACGCGTTACTTATTTTGAAAAGCGATTAGCGTATTACATATTTCAAAGGTAACGTGTTCTATTTTATAAATGCAACAATTAATACGTTTATTTTGTGAAATAACGTTTACAGCACTATTTATTATACGAATGTGGATTATATATTATCCGATTTGTACACGACTAATACAAATATTCGATTCTTACATAAACGAATATTCAATTATTTGATTCGAAATTTTCCAATAGAATTCTAATAATTCATTTTTCAATTAGATTTTCTGGAAGCCTAATTCGCTTTTATTATTTAGGGTATCATAATAGAAGTCAAAGATATAAAGAATCAAAAGTCAAATGAGGCTTATTCTAAAAATTATTCTAATGAAGAAGGATAAATCATCCAACTTACATTCATTTTGAAAATGATGATGTTAATTTTAACATAATCAAGAGTTTATATAATAATAAAAGACAATTATTTTTATTCTCCTCTAAGTTGTACTTGCATACATTAAATATAGGAAAAATAATATTTAAATCAATAACATTGTTTAAATCCATGCCGCGCTATCCTTAATGGCAAAGTTAGTATCTTAGGGTGGGGGTATCTCATAAAATTTTTTAAGGGCCAAGCCCCTAAACTATTATTTTCCCGGCTTTTGCCAGAGTCTCTCCTATAAAAAAATTATAAATAAGCCTTTAAATATTTTTTATATATCTGCTTAATTAGTATATTTCAATCCGTTTGGATACTAGATACGTTTGATATATAATAAAAAAAATTTCTAATTTATATCATGTCGGGACAAAGCTTATAGAAATATTGAATATCTGGGTGCAAAAATATTTAATTAGTATACATATTTATTCATCAATTAGTTTCGCCAACCACTAAACAGGAGCCAAGATGTGGGAAAGAAAGACTATAACGTCACACCTTAATATCGGATTCGTGTTTAAAAATTACACATATAAAATAGTATACTTTGAATGGAATTATATTTCCAAAAATTATATATATAATAATGAATCTCATATAAAAATAGTCTTATCTTATGCATGAATTTTCCCATTTAAACATATTGATGGCTTTTGGCTATTTTACCTTTTAAAAGGATAATTTTGGTTTTCCATATTTTTCTTTTAAATATTTTGAATTATATTCATTATTTTAAAAAATTATTAACTTTTACTTAATTTTATAAATTATTGCATACATATTTAAGAGAGGGGGTGGCGGTAGAAAGAGTATCTTTATTAGATTAAAATGATATTCACGGAAATAGACAATTGTCCCAAGATATTATTTCTTTTTTACACCCTCCCTTCCGGCTACGCCTATGCAATCATTTTTTTCAACATGTTAACCATTTATGGCTAGTTTTATCAAAATATTGAAGAAATGATAAGCCTTCGATGGTAGATAATTTGCACCGTATTCAAGGTAAGTAAAATGGCTGGGCACCAAGGAATGGGGGTTAAAATAAAATTAAACACAACTTTATGTATCTATCAAACAAAATATTAGCTATTTTAATAGTACTTAAATCGTAAAATACTCAGCAAAAACTCTTTTTAATCAAATTATTTTTTGAAATTAATATTTCAACCGTTTTACCCGTAGCTGGCTTTACCAAAAGATATTCATTATATATTAATTCATGACTTCTCGCTTAACTTTAATCTTTAGTATATTTTAACTAAATGAATATTATAGCTAGTAGTGTTGTTAAACTGCTCTTGAGCCAATTTAAAAAACGGCTAACTCAGTACTTTGCCCGAAAAAATATTATGTAATCCTGAAGTTTTGCTCACAGGTGGCAGCTTGGACATCTATTGGTGAAATCTCGAGACTTAGTCAATATTTTTCCGGCTAAAATGCTGAGTGCCAGTTTTTATGAATCGGCTCAAATCAAGCCATTTAACAACACTAATACCTAGTTATGAAAAGAATACTCTTGAGGGGGAAGGGGGGGGGGGCAAACAAAAAAATTAGTTAAATTTTTTTAAAAATGCCAATTCATTCCATATGGGAGATATATTACATCAACATTTTATATAATTTATAATCACCTTGAATAAAATTACCAAATATCACGATTTCCTGGGCAGAAAAATCTAATCAAGTCCAATCTATTTTACTAGTGTTTAATATATTTTAATAAAAATATTAATTAAATAACAATCATATAAATAAGTATTATAAGAAAATTATTATCAAGTATTCAAGCGGTTTCCATAATTAAACATTTAAGCATTGGAAAAATATTCTGTGTTTATTGCTAATTTGGTTAAGATGTATATAAATGATTTTAATAAAAACATTGCAAAAAATATAAAATATGATTTTTTGGATTTTTTTATATATTGGTGGTTCAAAGAACCCTGTGTTTGCCTGCTCCCAGCCTTAACTTTAGTAATCATGATTTAAAATAATATCCAGCACACCATAAATACTCTTAGAACATTTTAGTAATGATAAAAGAGGAAAAATTTGAATAATTAATTCGAATATTTATTGAGCATATGTCGTAGTAATCCTGTTCTTTTAAAAATCATCATTAAACCCGAGTTTTTTATAAGAATCGTAAGTTTTACCTGACCCTGTAAATATAAGACAATTTTTTGGCCAACTTTTGAACTACCCTTAATTTATAATATAATAGATTTTTCATATAAATTAGAGAAATAAATAATAAGAGGCATACTCTATACGAATATGATGCCCACAAAGCAATATGAAATTAAAGAACGCTCGGGGTCCGCTATAAAGGAATTATTTGTTTTACTAAAATTTTATGTTTTAAAAAAAATTATTTCACCCGAGAAGTTTTTCATTAAAGTTTATCGGAGTGATTTATTTCGTGCCAAAGTTATTTTATTTTAATAAATATACATAAACAAAATTGCTATTGACACGTTACCGTACATTCACAGTTAGCGCGAATTCTCGGCGAAGTATACAAAAATGAATGTAAAATTAGACGGCCCCAGCCAAGATTTCTTTAATATATATTGCATTTATTTTTAATTTTTATAGCAAATAGGCGATATTGCGTCGTGTCTAATTATCTCAGCCCCCAAATGACCCACCTATATCGCTCTTATAAGTGACTAGTAGTGCCTAATTGCCACTGCGTCGAAAAATAAACGTGCGGGAATTGACAATCCCCGAAATGACGAGTAATGAATTATTATATTTATAATACAGGTAAAACCATTGTTTGATGCTTATTATTTTATTTTTTTGCATTAAATCTGATTTTGGCCGGAAATGCATTCCAATAGGTGATAATATCTATTCTATAAATTTCAGACAATTTTATAAAGAGAAGAATTTTCAGTTTTTATTAAAACTATTTGGAAAATGACAAAAAAAAATTATTATAAATTTAGGTTTCCTCAAAAGTTGGTCATAAAATTGTCTGACTAGATTTGAGCCGATTTGTAAAAATGGAATATGTCTAAGCTTCGAGATTTCGCATAGATGTTCAAACCTTTGTGTCAACTATGAGCAAAATCTTTAGGCTTGCATAATATTTTTCTGAATAAAACATTATTGAATTAGCCGTTTTTAAAAATCGGCTCAAATCAAGCCATTTAACAACATTAGAAATTTATAGGGTAAGGTACTGACAGAATTGAAATGCAATTCCGCCAAAATCAGATCTTTAAATTTAATAAAACGCGCTAAATTACTGATTTAAAATGAAAAACCTAATGTCCCCTTACCAAAATACCTGTATAAAAATAAACCAGACAAAAAGTATAAATTATGTTCTTTCGAGATACGTTTTAGATTTTGTGAAAAATGAAACTGAAAAAATTAAAATTTGGTAATTAAATAAATAAAGGATTGTTTATTCTCTTTATTTTCTTTAATAGAAATATTATAAAAATTAAAAGATGATACATCTACAAATTTAAATTTATTCAAAAAACAATTAGTATTATTTTAAAAAAATGTTGGTCCATGATGTACCATGTGTGCTTCATTTTTTAAAATACAATTAATAAATCATAACTTTAGATAAAAATAAAAAATTTTTATACAAAAAAGGATAATAAAATAAAAGATTATATAAAAATTTGGAATAAAAAATAAATTTCTGTCTTAAGTTTGGGGCCATTTCTTATTTATGTAAGCTAACGCGAAAATAATTATCAAATCCCTTCACAAGCTAACGGATCGGAATTAAGGAAAGATCCAGACTCGCCCTTTCTCAGAATTTTTAGGACATTGCCGGACTTAAATTTGATTTGTAATATAGGTACTCGGAAAAAATTTAAATTATTTTGTGTCTTCCTGATTCTAATCTTTTTTTTTTAAGAAAAACAGAATTTGATTATTCTCCATCGCTTATAATTTTTCGGCTTTTCATGAAAAATATTATTTTATTGGATAGCAGCCTACCTTTAGACCTCTGACTCAGAGGTTTTGTTTGGCAATTACAAAATAAATTATATTATTTCCAACTCAACACAGACGCAAAATAGTTTATTAATATAAAGCTAAGGTTTTACTACTATAAATGAACCACTTTTATTTCCGTCACTCTAATATTTTTAGATTAAAAGAAAGAAAGAAAGAAAGAAAGAAAGAAAGAAAGAAAAGAAAGAAAGAAAGAAAGAAAGAAAGAAAGAAAGAAAGAAAGAAAGAAAGAAAGAAAGAAAGAAAGAAAGAAAGAAAGAAAGAAAGAAAGAAAGAAAATTTATTATTTGTTTAATGTTTTCATTTCTTTTGTGTGAAAAAAATGAAACAAAAAAACAATTTTATTTATTTTTATTTATTATGTATTTTTTTTTTATAAAAGATAAAGAATAAAGATAAAAAAATTTAAAAATATATCAAATATAAAATATTTATTTTTATAAAATAAAATAAAAATATCCTTTTTGGTTTTATTTAAAAATTAAAATATTTATTAATTCTTTTTGATTATTTCGCTCTTTTTATACAAGAAAATTGTCAAAAAAAATTTTAATAAAAAAAAAAAGAAAAAACTTTACAAAAGAAATAAAGATAAAAAGAAAAACTTATTTTATTTTTTTTAATTTTATTTAAAAAAATTAAATATAAATTTTTTTTATAATTCTTTCGCCTTTTTGTGTTTTGCTTTTTTCTTGATGATGCCGCCATTTCTTTTGTTGCTGAAAAGAAGCATGGTATATAAATAAATATATTTTTAATATATCATATTAAACTAAATATATTTTCTTAGCTTTTATTTTTACCTTCTAAGCGAAAAAAATAGATTTAAAAAAATAAGATCTTTACCATTAAATCATTCGTTTTACAATGGAAGAAAATAAGATATCAAATAAGGTAGGTTATAATAAAGGAAGGACAAATTCACCTAAACAATTTTGAGAGAATTAATGATAGTGTGTAAAAAATAAATGATTTATAATTAAGATTTATATTGATAACACCATGATAGCGGAAAATGATTTTTACGCTTATTTGGCAATTGAATTTGAATATGGTTGCTATTTTATTTTATTATGGATAAAAAAAACTAAGATAGTTAATATATTTTGGTATTATTTTAGATGCACATATCCCAAATCAATTAAAATGTTTTCCTCCTAAATCTTACCAAGAAAGAATTTCAAATACCGGCACCAATAACAATACTAGATTTATAACCATATTCCCCACATAAAAATCTTTTGAAAGAAAAAATTACAAAAAAACGATTACACTACACACAATGGGAATTGCACGCAAATATGATAAATAATTAAAGGGAAAATAATAAATGCCACATGTGAGTAATAATTTGAATAATAGCGCCGGTGTTAGTAGCGGGGGTGAAGATGTCACGAGTGACGAGGTAAAAGTTTTCGTGGAAGAAGGAACGGAAGAAACAGAAAAGAGAGATTCCGAAAGAGGATTGGACGAAGAAAAAATTAGTCTCGTCAATATTACTGACTCGGTAAAAAAGATTTTTTTTTGAAACTTATTATTTTATTGACAGGGAAAATATTTAGTTACGTAAATGTTTACCAACCCTAGAAAAATTCAATTTATTTTTAAAACTATTTCTTAAAAAACAATAAATCAATTTAGTCCTAAAAAATTTTTTTTTAATGTTCAAGAACGCAAACCGGAAATATTGAAAGTTAACCAGAGTTCTGGAACCCGAAAATATATATAAAAAGCATATTACTTTCCTTTTTGAGAATATTTATTTGAAATATTAATCATTATTTTTTAAAAAAATAGGTTAAATTATACTTCGTCAGCAATTTTTCAAAAAAAAATTTTTTTTTTAAACATTTTAAGGAAATCTAAAATGAAATTTAACATTTTTTAAATTCATTCTTCTTTTTTATATATAGTGGGTTTTTTTTTATTCTAATAATCTTTTGATAGATTTTTATATATTATTTATAAATAAAAATAATGTATAAAAACTTAAAAGGGAATTTAGTATGTCGGTCCTTTGTCGGCCACTGGAATTCTCCTCCCACTTTTTAAATAACTTTACCACGCTAAAAAAAATTAATATAAATTAAATTAACTTCACAAAAAGGAAATAATATTTATCTATGTAACATTAGAAAAAGGCATAATAAATATAAAGACTTTTTATGCATATCTTTATTACTCAAACAAAACACAAACGACCGCCAATTTAACAAAAAATTTATATTCAAAAAAGTCAATATAATTTATTAATATTATTTATCACTTAAAAGAAGTAAAATATAAAAAGGAGTATAATCATCAAAGAGATACTAAACTTTCTAATAAAGAAAGACTAAGCAATAAATAATAAAATAGACATTTTTTATATACACTAATAACATTATTACAGCATCATTTTCTAAAGTAAAAATTTGATTTTTGTTTAATAATTTTTTATAATTATTCTCCATTATTTTGTAATTTTGAAACGTTAAAAAAAAGTGTCTTTCAAATATTTAATATTTTTTAAAAGCACGTATAATTTTGGCGTATATTTAAAATGATTCCTCAAAATTTTAATTTTAGGATAAAACTGTCACATCATCTTCAGCCACAACCTTCAATCAATTCTTACAACAGGGTTCTATATTTGGTGCAAATCCTTTTAACTTCGCTTCTAGATACCGAAATGAAAATGGTAAAATATCCCATATATATAAATAAATATAATTATATATAAAATGAAGTTTGTCTAATTTGAACCCCCTCGAACCTATGTATTGTGAGCCAAATAATATGGAAATATTTTTTTTGAACTTTTATAATCTCGCCCATACGAATAGATTTTTTTTTTAATTCAACATTATAATTTATTATAATAGAGAGTACATAAATTTTTTCTTATGCAAAATTTTTATAGTAAAACCTTTGTAATTTAATCTCCTTGCAAATGTGAGCTGATTTTTGTTGTCTACCCGTTTCTTTCACATATTTATTTTTTTGAAATTTTCTTCTACTGGCTTTAATTTCTTTACGCGCAAACTTTCAGCTCCCCTTCCATCTTTTCCCCAAAATTTAAAAAGGCCGTCATCCTAACGGCTCTCTTTATATCAGCTGATTAAAAATTAATGGGATCAAAGTTTCGAAAAATCCTCTCTAAAACTAAAAAAAACTGCGGGAAAAAGTTAGCTAGGGCGCTTTCACATTTTTACAGCCTAAAAACGAATACCATCTCGTTTAAAAAATTTAAAGTTCAAATTATTCAAGTAACAATCTTGTTCATACCCACTATTTTTATCCCAACTGACCAAATTATATACTATATAAAATAATAATCATAATTATGTTTATTTTTACTGAAACAAAAACATAATAAATAAAAAATAAAATATTTTTTAAGAGGAAACGAAAATAAAGAAAAACAACAAAAAATCGGCCTTTTTTTCTTCTTTAATAAAATGCGTTTTTTTTCAGACTCAAATAATATTTTTTCTTTTAGTTTTTCTTTTGTAGAAAAATATATTTTTGACATTGATTGATCGGTTACTTTTTTTTAGTAATAAAAAATTTTGGTATTTTGGCCAGGCAATTTTTTTTATATAGATTAGATTGTTTTGATTTTTAACGGCACGGTATATATAGATAGGCAAAAATTTGAAGCAGATGCCTATAGGATCCAATAGAATTAGGGACTAAAAATTGAATTTTCACATTCAATGGCATAATACAATATTGATTTCTAGGCTGAATCCATTCTTTAAAATTCATTTTGATTTTTGGAAGATTCGCTGAATTGAATATAAATAAGTTAATGTCATTCCATTTGCATAATATTTTTATTATAAATAGAACTGATTTTTCTAAAATAAAAGTTCTCATAAAATTTTAATAGAAATAAACATAGCGTGCTAGCTTATTTGTTTTGAAACATATTATTGTGGGCTATTAATTATGTCATTGGTCCCGATAAAAATAGCCAGTATTTTATACCAATTTCCTGTAAATAAATTGTTTTTTTATAACCATTGTGGCGATTTAAATGGTTTCTTAACCAAAAAAAAGCTAAACTTAATTTTTTTGACTAAAATTGAAGATCATTTATTATAACAAACAAATTTACTATGAATAGATAATTGAAATGCTCTATGACTTGTTTTTTATCAAGGGCAGTCGTAACTAAAATTATTAAAAATTCTTGCCGTATATTATACCCTGCTAAAATTAAGTTCTTTAACGGAGAACTATCACCCCAGCTTCAGATTTTTTTAAAAATATAGCTTGAAGAAAGCAGGAATAAATTAATTCGAACCCTCCTCAATGCTTATGGGTTTTTTTGTATATGCCTATAGATTGAAAATATTTAGCCATAATCCAACTATACGAAATTATCTCTTTTTATGCCCCCTCCCCCCTAATCGTATAATCTTAGAATTAAATGCTGAAATGCGACCTATTTTTTTTTTACTGGTATAAAATTCTTGAATATCATGAAAATGGAAAAGATCTAAACACCAAACTCAATGTTATAATATTGTATCCTTAAATTGACTTTGGTTATGGTCTCATCGAGTAATTAGTAACATTCAAAAATTTTCTTATTAAAAACGGAATTTATAATAAAAAGTAGCAAGTTATGCCGGCGCAGAGAACCGTCGTGAAATGAATCGTAGCGAGTATACTATACATTTCGCGCCATGGGCCCCGAATGACAATGTATTTTTATTATATTATACGAAAGATTACAAAACTTTCCGCAAGATATCGCTGTTTCCACCCGAAGTTTTTTAAAAACAATGGGAAAGCGAAAACGGTTTATTCATTTAATCGCATATCCATTGGCACAATAAATCGGCTCGCCTTTTTAAAAAAAGATAAAGGAACCAGATACTAAACCAAAAATGCATATAGAATAATTTAATTCTAAATTAAAGATTAATTTATTCTTGAATTGCCGTATAAGCTAATTTCGAAAGAAAAATTTTCAAAAGGAACCATAAATTATTAGACATCGTATTTTATGATAATTTTATAAAAAATTATTTAAAATTTTTTTTTATTCATTTTAATAACCCAAAAAAGGTAATATTCTAAGGTTAGTCATTTTATTATAGTTCAATATTTGTTTTCAATGGCCTCGATAGCGAGGGTAAGGGGACAAAAAATTTATTTTTTTCCGGAATCGTATTGTTTGTCCAGTACGAACAGAATACCTATCTATCGCGCAATTTTCCCCCTGATCTTTTGTGTATTTTTTAATTTATATTATGAAAAATTATTATGTCGTATTAGGATATGGAATCTATGAGGATTGGGAGTCTATTATAAACTAGTAGGGTGCCTAGCCTATGAATTCCAGCCAATTTTTGGTGTGAACTTTTGTTTACCTTTTAGTTTATATTAAAAAAAATAATATAAATTAGAAGTAATTTAAGAGTTCACGATGAAATTGTCTGAAATTTGCCGTTTGGGTACTTTATCAGGTCTAATCAGAATTTTTTTTTAAATTTAAAAATGAAAGATTTCCAATCACCACGGATTTATTTAGAAAGTAGTTAAAAAGTTTAAAGCATAACAGACTCCACGGCGCGTGAGAGTCCAGGTCAAACTTACAGACACAGGGGCATCAGGAAAATTCAAATTATGAAACAAGAACCCCATAATAATTTTATTTATTTGCCTGAACCCCATGATTTTTGTGTTAAGCTGACCAAATTGTCTAAACTAATTAAACAGGGTGAGTATTCTTTACCTGTCAGAATATGATTACGGCAATTTTAAGATGACGCGCTCTATAAATTACATAATATTTTTTATTAGCTAAAATCTCACATCAGATTTGCAAAATCCTTATCCCATATATTTTGGTAGAGTATAGTAGAAGTTCCCAATGTTATTTTATATTTTTTTAATTTATTACATAATAAAGTACGTTAGTATACTATTGGCAGCAATGATAAAATTTTTGAAAAATATAATTTTTGAAAAATTTAATTTATATAGGTAAATTTCTCGATCCTTCAACTTTGTATGGAAGCGGTGACGCATTTAGATATTTTATGCCCCATTATTCCCCTAATGGATACCCAATGGTAAGCCAATATTTTATTTATAATTAATGATATATACTTTTTGGGAATATTTCCAATACAACCATCCATTTGTTATTTATAAATAAAATATTTGTAAAAACTTTTGTAATATAACCCGTTTTTATTTGAATATATCTTACAAATTAGTTATTTATTAAACATTTGATAAAAAACATCCTTTACCCCTAAGGTGTAGCATTAATTAAATGATGTTTAAAAAAGTTTTTTGTTCCGTTATACTTATTATTTATTATTAATTATTATAATTCTTAAAATCTTAAGTTAAATTATCAATTTTACTGAAAGATCATAAATGATGATAATTTCTTCTAAAGTGTTAGTTTTATTTATTATATATATATTATCACATCACGCATTTACTACATAAAAGTAAAATATCATTCCTTTATTAGTACAAGAAAAGAACAAAATATTTTTTTACAGTAATAAAATAAAAAAATAATACCTAAAAAGATAATTTTTTTTCCTCATTTTATAATAAGATTTTTAATAATGTGAATTATACAATATAAACGAAAAAGCATATGGTGTTTTTCATCTTCATCATAAAAGCATTTTATTTTTCTCGAGGAGAATCTTTGATTAAAAAAAACAATATTACATAGATAAAAACTACTTATGTAAAACCTGCTTAATTTATCAACTGCTTTTTTAAAAAAAAATTGAGCAAGTGCACAATTTTAGTGCATGTACGAACCTTTAAAATGTAAACGGGGCGGCGTTACTTCTCTTGCAGAATCGGTCTCAGCAAGTTTAACAATATAAGAAAGTTACAAAATATATGTAATTTGATTTTATTAAATATAATAAAATTATTAATGCGACATTTTAATTGCCATTTTTGATTTGCTCTACAATTAGTAGACACATAAATTATTTTATTTTTTCTTCTAAATTTCCGATAACCGGTAAAAAAAATGCTTTAAAAATATCAATAATATTTACAGGAGAAAAAAGAAAGAATTTTTTTTCATTTTAGATTATTTTATCCTTAAATTTTATTTTAATATAACGTATTAATTATTATATATCCGGTCAACTATACATAATATAGCAAACAATATTGTATATAATATTTTTTATTATTAAGAATAAGAATATAAATTATAATAATGAAAAATATTATTATTTTAAATACCTAAATTTTATACTAAGAAATCTGAAGTGCAAGCCCATCATGCCCGCCCTGGCTCAAAATGATATGATTTTTTTTATAAAAAAATATGGAACATTAAGAAATAAATAGTATTTTTTTATGAATGAAGGTTTTATTTTAATTATGATTAAAATTTATAATAAAAAAGACCTACAAATTTCCATTAAAATTCGCTGACGTAGGTTAAAAAAAACCTTCCTGAGGATCACCCGAAAATTTAACGCATTTTTAGTGCTTTGGAAAAATCCCGGGCTCTGTCCAAAAGCACCTATTGTGTCAGAAATAATAAAATTTAAAGTGATATTAGGAATTTTGTATTGATTAATTTTTCTAATTTCCGCTTTCATTAAGTATGTGGAGCAAAAGGATAATGTTCTTACACAGCTCGATTTAACCAATTTTAAAAACGGCTAATTCAAGATTTTAGCCAATAATAAATTGTTAAAGCTTGGAGAATTCCACAGATGGCAGTGACATTTAGCGAAATTTCGAGGTTTGGGTAATAATAAGATATTAGCTTAGCTGTTTAACAACATTAATTTCCACGGGATCTCCCTATGGGTTATTTAAAAATATCTATAATTTTTATTTTTTTAATTTAATAACCCTTGACACTTAATAGCCCAATTTAAATTTGTATTATCAAAGAATCCCCATTAAGGTTTCGAAGGTTGAATGCAAGATTATTTTTATGCAGGAATATTTTTAAAATTATTATGGGTTAACCCTAACCCACTATCTTAGAAGCCCTGCAAATTAACTATTTTAGGGCCTACTCCGGTCCGAATTTATTTATTTCTAAGCGAGGCCAAAGTTTATAAAAAAAAATCGATACATTTATAAAGATTAATATGTCTGAGCCCGGCACGATTTTCATTTTATTTGTTAGACCAACCTAGTAGAGGTCTGCATGACTCTACTTTATCCACCTATATCTTAGTGTTATAATATATTTTTTAAAAAATCGTTAATGTGCTCACTTTATATTCTTTAACGTTAGTTTGAGACGACCAAATGTGTTTGAATTACAAAATATATTATTTGGTTTCGAGAGAATCGTGCAAAAAAAACAATATAATTGAATATGTATTTTTCAATATAATGTCCATATGTGCTAATCCTTGTATAACAGTTTTATGGCAAAGTTAATATATTATTGGTCAGTATGATTTCTCAAAATTGTAAACAGATCCCTGCAAGTCGGCCACTTGGGGAAATCGAATTTGAAGATCTCTTTCAAGAGCCAAAAGGTGGAGTTGGTTATCTGGGTTTGACCCCAAGTTAATTTTAAATCGCTCTAGTTGCGCTGAGCTAATATTAAATATTAAACTCAGCTTGCAATTTCTTATTAACTAAATTCAGGTTTCATGTGTAGATTAGCTTTTACACTTTTCGAGATTTCAAATGTTGAAATATGTGGGTTTTTAAATAAATTATAAAAATACATTCATTTTATACCAAATGGGGTGGGTTTCTTATGGGTTGAATTTTAAATATTTAACATTTTTTAAAAATATTTAGCATAAATTTAATTTAAAAATATATGTATCAGTAAAAAAGAATTTTATTAATTCTAAATATGAAATTCGACAACAATATTTTTTTTGTAAGTTTTATTATTCATTATTTAAATTCTTGATATGACCACCTATTATTTTAGCTAATTTAAAAAAAATAAAAATATGATGCACACATACATAATCTAACCTCTACCGACATAATTTTAATCTATTATTTAAAAAAAAACATTAATAACTCTCAGAGGCATCATAACATTCAACATTATTTATTAATATATTCCGTGGTCCATATGTTTTTTGTTCATCTAAAGACTTTTTCCACCCTATCTACCGCTTTTTATACGTATTCTTCCCTCATATTCGATATCGTTATCTTATTTTAATATCAAAATGTGTGAATGAATACTATGAATTATATATATTTAATGCAAGTAGAAGAAGAGATTAATAGATTAATTGACCTGAATAGTAATTATTAGTACAATTCTTTTTTTAGAGTTTTACAAACATTAACTTTTACATTTCTAATTAATTAAGAAATTTTTTTTTTTTTAAAAATTGAAAACTTTATATTTTCCTACTTATATTTACATCAGTAAATTTTAATTAATCCGATAATGTCCTATCTTTATCATCATTAATCATTTAAAGTCATTTTTTTATTACCTGAGAAAGAGATAATAATATAAAAAAAATGTTGTTTCAACTTTTAATAAACTCTTTTGATAGTACAACAAATTATTGTTAGTATTTTTTTGAATTTTTTCGCTTTAATTTATTTTAATTAGTTAACATTTATACAAATAATAGATTTGTGTACGTTATAATTTAATTACTACCTTGAAGAATACATAAATTGTCATTAAAAAATCTCGTCAAGGCATTTATTAATTGAATACCGGACAAAAGTACCCCCTGTCATGTGCAAAAGGTCACTAAAGTCAAAATGCGACTAGAATAAGCGAATTGGAATCAGCGGATAAAATAGATCAACCCTTACCCAATACTTTTAAATGATTTTTTCGCATTTTGAAAAATATTTTATTAAAATTGTGATAATCTGTCCGACTTACCCGTGTTAATCAAAAGGGTTTTTTAATAGGTTTAGATAGGCTCAAACACTTTTATTATTAGATTATTTATATATCCTAACCATTTGCGAAGCTTTTATACCTGAATCGTTAGGAAGAGCCTATAGCAAGTTCAGCATGTCTAAACTATGGACTCATCCGCATACGTCGAAATAACAAGAATTATCAGGTGACGATGCCTGGCATATCCTCTATTTATTTTTTAAAAATGCTTTTATAATGTCAAAATTCCCCGCTCATCATAAATAACTTAAATATCCGAGCATGTCCATACTTGTGGTCCTCATTTTTTTCTTACTAGATGATATAAATAAAAAAGAATTTCAATTTTACTCTTTTTTGGATAAATTTAATAAATAATTAATTATATTAAGGATTTTGTTTATAAAACATAAACATTCACATCATCACTTTTATTATTTGAAGCCTTTGTTTAATATTAATTTTTTCTCAGTTGTGAATTGTTATTTTGGTACAGAGAGTAAAATCCGAAACAGAAAGAAACTACTCGTCACAATTAACACCTCCGTGATTTTTTTTTAAAAAAAAATTCTATTTTATAATGGATCTAACTATCGAGTCGCCATTAAATAAATAAAGTGAACCTAAAATGGCCACTTTTCCAGGTTTCTTATTTTCTATTAATAAAATATAAGCCTTTCTATTAATAAAATATAAGCCTTTTTAAAATTTATATATTGTATCCTTAATTAAAAAATTAATAATTTATAAAATCAAAATAAAAAAAATGACAAAATATTGTAAAACTAAAAAAAAAATTTCAGTCAGGCTTAAGTCATATTAAATTTATATTATATTTTGCTACTTTTTTTTATAAACTACGTTTACTTAGATATTTTTTTGTAAATTTAGAAAAAGTTAAACTTGCAAATCGTCACCCCTGTCCCCACCATCTCTGCCTCGATAAAATAATCATTTAATTTAAGTTCCGGCGTAAATATTGAATTCCAGCAAAAATACACTAGTTTTAAATAACCCCTAAATCTGACCAAAATACACATTAATTTATTTCAAAAGTTGATTAACCCCTCTTCCCAAAAATTTGAAAAACCCCTTCTCCAGACATTTTCGATAAAAAATGGGTTCTTGTTTTCCGTATTTTTGTCCACCGAATCTCCCCCTTTTCACAAAATAATAAATACATTGGCCAATTTCAGTTTTTTTTCTTCCTCTTCTTTCAAATTCTTTTCA